AGCTACAACACCATGTCCTCCTTTGCTGATGATTCCAGAATTTGCATGAGAGTGTCATCTACTGAAGACACTCTAAATCTCCTAGTGGACAATAACCAAATCTTTAAATGGGCCTCAGAAAGTACGAAGTTCAATGAGGTCAAATTTTAATTACTCTGCTAAGCCTGAATGCCTTCCACGTCCCCCCCCAGGTGCTGCATAATCCTACGGGTTTAGGGCTTCCCCCTTGATTATAATAATAATAATCAAGTATATAAAAACTGGATCGGAGTATAAAACAAATTCCAACCACACACTAGAGCAAAAACTTAATGTGAAGAACTTGGGAGTGATGTTGCCAGAAAATCTCACATTCAAAGATCACAACAATGTTTTCATCACATTTGCTAGGAAAATGATGGGATGGATAATGTGAACCTTCAAAACTAAGCATGCCAAGCCAGTAATGATTATTTTCAAATCACTTGTTCTCTTCAGTCTGGAGTACTGCTGTTCACTAATGGCCCCTTACAAGGCAGGCGAAATTGTAGACCTGGGGAATATGCAGAGAACTTTTGCTGCACATATAAATACATTAAAACACCTCAGTTACTGGGAAAGGTTGAAATCCTTTGACCTGTACTCCTTCAAATGCATGCGAGAAAAATACATAATAATATACACCTGGTGCGAGATGGCTGTTGAGGCAAAAACGAAAAAGATCGTTTCCCCTAAATAACTTACAAGAGTTTGTGCATTAGGGAAATAATTTTGATTTTCAGTACTCCTAATTCCTTTTGAAAATAAACTTTCCTTATTAAAAATATCAGACAAAGTACGTATGTATATACATAGAGAAAAGAATTACATACCGAGATCATACTGTACAAACACTATCTTCATCTGTATGTTATATAGAATTTTATCCAGGAAATAAAATTTATTGTGGTACATAAGGGAATTTATATATGAAAACACTTGAAGTTGAGATAAGAAAATTGATTTAATAAAAGCACTTATATGTCTTGTATACCTATATAAAGTGAGCCACTGATCAGATCAGATCGACTGGTCCGAACCCTCGACTGGTCCGAACCCTTGATGGTCCGAACCCTTGACTGATTTCAAACGGTTTCGTTGGACAATAAAGCAGACTGTAAACGGATGGGGTTGTAGGCGCCCTTATCAAACACAAACAATAAATATAAATCAGGAACATACACGGTAAGCTGTCCAATTAGTTAGAAATAGAAATACAAATAGCTAGAGCTTCATTTAAGTAGGTTATTAATAGAGTATTCAAGAGGTTGCTAGTAGAATTACAGTAAATCAACCACTCAAATCATTATGAAGCTCTGTATAGTCTGCAGTCAATCAAACAAATGGGCTTCCACATGGATAAATTGTCATTTTTGTGGAAATTGGTGTCATGCCCCTTGTGCAGATATCCAAGAACTAGCTACAAGCAGTATTAAAACAGGGAAGTGTTTTTGGGTATGCCCAAATGAGGAAAATCTGTGGACTAAAATCACAAGGGTATTAAAAGAGGATAACATCAAAGCTGCTTTCATAGACAACCTGGAAGCTTTCTACAACAGATGGGAACATAAAAAGTCTGGGCTGAATGGTACTGCCCTTGATACTGGCCATGTAGTCAGAAACTGTAAGGCTGGAGGTGATGTCCTGGTAGTCAGTAAATGTGAGGCTGATAGTGCTGTCCTGGGAGACAGTAATGGTGAAGCTGGAGGAGCTGTCCTGGGAGACAGTAATGGTGAAGCTGGAGGTGCTGTCCTGGGAGACAGTAATGGTGAAGCTGGAGGTGCTGTCCTGGAGACAGTAATGGTGAAGCTGGAGATTTTGTCCAGGTAGTCGGGAATTATACGCAGGAAGGAATACATATAAATGACCTCATAGGGGACAGGAGCCGTAGTGGGGAAACAAGTGTAGTCAAAGATAAGATAAAACCAATATTGCAAACTAGAAATACCACAGGAAATAGCAAACAAGAGGACTCCACTAGCTATAGTGAGGATATATTACCAAAAACAACTGGTGGGAGCTCCATTGTTGGTGCTAGGGAGGATAGGAAAAAGACAGGGAAACATGCACCAACAGGGAATACAGTCACAGAAACCCAAGGCAAACGGAAACCAAGCCTGTGCACATACTATGCACGTGGTATCTGCAGGCATGGGAAATCTGGAAAAACAGACTGGACGTGCAATTATGACCACCCTAGAAAATGCCATGCCCATATGGCAACAGGAAAATGCAAACTCCCTTCCTGTAAGCTTTTTCACCCTGAAATGTGTACCTCTTCAGTACAGGAAAGACTGTGCTATAACTTAAAGTGCCAGGCATACCATCTAAAGGGTACAAAAAGATACAAAACATCCAGGCCATGGGAAAACCTGGGTAGCCACAGCCACTCAAGAGGGAGAGGTTTTTTAGTGCCAGGAAGGAAAGAGGTCAATATATCTGAAATGCGTAGGGAGACACTGGTCAGAGAAATAGCAAGCATCGAACTCAAGCTAAAGGAATCTTATAGGAGTCAGGAATCGCGGGAAGAACTAAAAGCCATAAATGAAATCGAAAGAAACCCAAAGTATTTCTTCTCCTATGCCAAATCAAAGTCGAGAACAACATCCAGTATTGGGCCCCTACTTAAACAAGATGGGTCCTACACAGATGACAGCAAGGAAATGAGTGAGCTACTCAAGTCCCAATATGACTCAGTTTTTAGCAAGCCGCTAACCAGACTGAGAGTCGAAGATCAAAACGAATTTTTTATGAGAGAGCGATAAATGACATGCCCATGCACTCTGCCCCAGGGCCAGACTCATGGAACTCCATGTTCATCAAGAACTGCAAGAAGCCCCTATCACGAGCCTTTTCCATCCTATGGAGAGGGAGCATGGACACGGGGGTCGTCCCACAGTTACTAAAAACAACAGACATAGCCCCACTCCACAAAGGGGGCAGTAAAGCAACAGCAAAGAACCACAGACCAATAGCACTAACATCCCATATCATAAAAATCTTTGAAAGGGTCCTAAGAAGCAAGATCACCACCCATCTAGAAACCCATCAGTTACACAACCCAGGGCAACATGGGTTTAGAACAGGTCGCTCCTGTCTGTCTCAACTATTGGATCACTACGACAAGGTCCTAAATGCACTAGAAGACAAAAAGAATGCAGATGTAATATATACAGACTTTGCAAAAGCCTTCGACAAGTGTGACCATGGCGTAATAGCGCACAAAATGCGTGCTAAAGGGATAACAGGAAAAGTCGGTCGATGGATCTATAATTTCCTCACTAACATAACACAGAGAGTAGTCGTCAACAGAGTAAAGTCCGAGGCAGCTACGGTGAAAAGCTCTGTTTCCACAAGGCACAGTACTCGCTCCCATCTTGTTCCTCATCCTCATATCCGACATAGACAAGGATGTCAGCCACAGCACCGTGTCTTCCTTTGCAGATGACACCCGAATCTGCATGACAGTGTCTTCCATTGCAGACACTGCAAGGCTCCAGGCGGACATCAACCGAATCTTTCAGTGGGCTGCAGAAAACAATATGAAGTTCAACGATGAGAAATTTCAATTACTCAGATATGGTAAACACGGGGAAATTAAATCTTCATCAGAGTACAAAACAAATTCTGGCCACAAAATAGAGCGAAACACCAACGTCAAAGACCTGGGAGTGATCATGTCGGAGGATCTCACCTTCAAGGACCATAACATTGTATCAATCGCATCTGCTAGAAAAATGACAGGATGGCTAATGAGAACCTTCAAAACTAGGGAGGCCAAGCCCATGATGACACTCTTCAGTCACTTGTTCTATCTAGGCTGGAATATTGCTGCACACTAACAGCACCTTTCAAGGCAGGTGAAATTGCTGACCTAGAAAATGTACAGAGAACCTTCACGGCGCGCATAACGGAGATAAAACACCTCAATTACTGGGAGCGCTTGAGGTTCCTGAACCTGTATTCCCTGGAACGCAGGCGGGAGAGATACATGATTATATACACCTGGGAAATCCTAGAGGGACTAGTACCGAACTTGCACACGAAAATCATTCACTACGAAAGCAAAAGACTTGGCAGACGATGCAACATCCCCCCAATGAAAAGCAGGGGTGTCACTAGCACGTTAAGAGACCATACAATAAGTGTCAGGGGCCCGAGACTGTTCAACTGCCTCCCAGCATACATAAGGGGGATTACCAACAGACCCCTGCCAGTCTTCAAGCTGGTACTGGACAAGCACCTAAAGTCGGTTCCTGACCAGCCGGGCTGTGGCTCGTACGTTGGTTTGCGTGCAGCCAGCAGCAACAGCCTGGTTGATCAGGCTCTGATCCACCAGGAGGCCTGGTCACAGACCGGGCCGCGGGGGCGTTGACCCCCGGAACTCTCTCCAGGTAAACTCCAGGTAAAACTGTCTCAGTTAAATGAGTTTATGTGACATTTCTAAAAAAAAAAAATTGAAGTCATCTGCAAGTTCATATCAGATATTTAAGAGAGATTCTTAATGTTTAATTTTTTTTTTTCAGATAATTCAAGTCCACTAGAAATCAGAACTAAATTGGAAGCTTTAATGTGGAGTGTTGAGACGAGGCTGCAAGAACTGAGATGGAACTAAAGAAACACCTGTACTGATTCGTAACTTCATATTTGTTCCATTTAGACAGCTTCCTTTCTCAAAATACTATTTTTAATATTTCAGTTTTACATATTTTATACCAAAGCATTTTTTTAACAAGTCGGCAGTCTCCCACCGAGGCAGGGTGACCCAAAAAGAAAGAAAGTCCCCAAAAAGAAAATACTTTCATCATTCAACACTTTCACCTCACACATAATCACTGTTTTTGCGAGAAGTTCATAGAGAAGAGAAACTTTTCACAGCGCTCAGCCCAAGTTCAACACACGAGAGCTCATACAAAACATAAGCCATATCAATGTTCTCTGTGCCTATAATATTTTTCAAAGTGTTTAGCTCTATTTAAGCACATGAGAGTTCACACAAAAGAGAAACCATATCATTGTGCAGCATGTTTAAAAAATGTTTCTTGGCAGTGGCATATATTACATCATATGAGCACTCATACAAGTGAAAACCATTTAAGTATTCCGAGTGTCTAAATGGCTTTTCACGGCATTCATATCTAGAACTACTCATGAGAGTTCATGCTAGAGAGAAACCCTATCAGTGTGCAGTGTGTCTAAAGGACTTCATCAGTAAACCAGAAATTAACCTGGTGGTTAACGCTCTCGCTTCACACGGCGAGGGCCTGGGTTCGATTCCCAGCCAGAGTAGAAACATTGGACGTGTTTCTTTCCACCTGTTGTCTATGTTCCCCATCAGTAAAATGGGTACCTGGGTGTTAGTCGACTGGTGTGGGTCGCATCCTGGGACACTGACCTAAGGAGGCCTGGTCACAGACCGGGCCGCGGGGGCGTTGACCCCCGGAACTCTCTCCAGGTAAACATACAGGTAAGAAACCTTATCAATGTTCAGTATGTGTAAAAGATTTTGCTACCAGATCAGCGCTCGTAAGGCATACGAGAGTTCATACAAAACAAAAACCATATCAGTGTTCCATGTGTTCTAAAAACTTCGGATCATTCACAGCTGTGTCTACAGCTCTTTTCCAGCAGGTCAAGTCTAAAGATACACAGGAGAGTTCATACAGGGGAGAAACCCGATCAGTGTTCAGTGTGCTTAAGAAGCTTTGCACACAATAATCACAAATAGTATCATATACTATGAGAATTTATACTAAGGAAAGATTACACCAGTGTTCAGAATGTCTAAAACACTTCTCTAAAAAAGTCTAATAATGCATATAAGAATTCACACTGGTGAGATGCCATATCAGTATCCAGACTTGGCAGACGATGCAACATCCCCCCAATGAAAAGCAGGGGTGTCACTAGCACGTTAAGAGACCACACAATAAGTGTCAGGGGCCCGAGACCGTTCAACTGCCTCCCAGCACACATAAGGGGGATTACCAACAGACCCCTGGCAGTCTTCAAGCTGGCACTGGACAAGCACCTAAAGTCAGTTCCTGATCAGCCGGGCTGTGGCTCGTACGTTGGTTTGCGTGCAGCCAGCAGCAACAGCCTGGTTGATCAGGCGCTGATCCACCAGGAGGCCTGGTCACAGACCGGGCCGCGGGGGCGTTGACCCCCGAAACTCTCTCCAAGTAAACTCCAAGTAAGAGTGTCTAAAAGAGTTTTCATAGCAGTCTTGTCTTGCACAACACAGGAAAATTCACACAGCAGAGAAGCCACAAAAATGTTCAGACTGTCTGAAAGCATTTTCGAGAAAATCCGCGCTAATAACATAATGCCTACGCATAATATAGGCTCTCTTTGCATTGCAACCCACTATTGTAAATACAAAATCTCAATGTAATTTGCAAAGACATAAAATAAATAAATAAATTAATACTTCAGTTTACACTGGAGAGAAACCATACCACTGTTCAAAATGTTAGAAAAAAAGGTTTTCACTGAATTCTTGTCTATTAAAACATTTGAGAGTTGATATTAGACAAACCATACGATTATGCAGAGCTAAAACAGCTTTACAATTTAAAAAGAAATGTAGAAACCTTATGACGTGGGGATATGCTCTTAAAAATTGACACCTTATTGAAAATGTAGTTATGAGAGAAAAAGATCAATAGAAGAAAAATAGGGTTTCATTTGGACACCTTGAAATTCACCAATCACTTTTTTACTATTCTATCAGGCAAATTTATTACAGTATAGCTTATTTCATTCTGTTAATCATTACTTAAAGTATTTGAGGAATGTGAAGAGGGTTAAGGGGGGCTGAGTTGGATCTAGGAAGGTATAGTATCAGCTAACACACTATATATGTCAGATTTGTGTGTATTTTTGTGATTTTAGGCAGTGTAAATAAGCCGTACAAAAAGTTGCCTCAGATCATTTATTGATTAGGTTCATTGGTCTGAAAATGAATCAATTAGTTTCAGGATTTCTTAACACTTTAAAGTTCGCAACAACACAGTGATTACGATAAATATTCTCATTAAAATTATATATCATCCGAAAAAAATATTTAAAGAATAGTAAAAATATTGAGTTATTTATATCTAAGAATGATCCATACCACGGGCGGGATTTGAACCCGCGGTCAGAGAGTCTCAAAACTCCAGACCGTCGCGTTAGCAATCGTGTCATTACGATTTCGTGAGTCATCTAAGAATGATGATTATTCAACTGTCTTTTGCATGTATCCTCTCAAAAGAAGTTTTGAAAACTATGTTTTTCATAATAAATAAATTTTATAACTAAGACCATCAAGCTGTTAAAAATCTTTTAACTAACAATGCTTTAAGATGTATGTGCAGTGTTATAATTCATTCAGTGAAACATATTTACCTGCTATTTTTTGAGATAAAGGAGCCATTATTCTTTTCATCAGTGCTATAGTAACTGATGCTTAAGATAACGCTAGATATTTGTACACCACCATAACCAGGTCAGACGTCAGTAGGAAATCGATGTGGGAATAATGAGAAGTGTTCATCATGGGTTCTTCCTGTTTAACCGAACCTGATAAAATTTCCCAGGGGCACCCTCACGGGCCTCAGTATCAACATGGACCCACTGTATTCGGAGGAAGATGATGCTGGGAATTCAGCAGATTGGTCCCGCTTGCCAAACCTGAGAAAGTTGTTATCACTGTCAAAGTGTGGAAGTCCTTGCTTATATCGGCGTTTGTTAATGTCCTGTAAATCTTCATAAGAGGCTACATTGATTATCTTGTCCTCAGGGCGGATGTCTCTGGCCCAGGCGGAGGGACTATGAGATGGCAGTGACACATATATGCTTGGAGCACCTCTCTTCATGCGCTGAGAAGTTATCTCCCCTAACTCAGGAGAGTTGACATGGTGGACTGCAGATGCATCTCGCTCAGCACGGGTCATGAGGTCGACTTTTCTGGGTGAGGGGGTCGAGTTGTTGTGGCGATCTACAGACCGGCCGAACCTAAAATAGATACATTATTTAAGTTAATGATATTTTTTAACACATTGGTAGGAGTTTAAGTTCATGGAAGCCACTACAATTTGCTCCATCTGCTAGGAATTGTCAGAGGAAGTAGCGCACTCAGCTCACACACTGAAGTCCAGGGATTGATCCCCCGCTACAGCTGGAGAACATTAGGACGTGATTCCATAAGACACCTGTTATCCCTGTCCACCCATCAGTAAAATGGGTACCTAGATGTTAGTCGACTGGTGTGGGTCGCACCCTGGGACAAAATTGACCTAATTTTCCCAAAATGCTCTGCATAACAACCGGCTTTTTATATAGTAGTATGTCATTGATATCAGCTTGTATACCTTGTACATGTACTTGTAGAAATATATTATTGTTATTATCTAGAAAGCAACACTATCTGGTGAGTATTGGTCAGAAAGTAAACACAGGAAGTTGCCCCAACTAGAGAAATAAGAACATGAACAACTGTGTTGGGATAGTCTTAGAGATTATCAGCAGTTAATTCCATTTCAACATGCACTCATTATATCACTCATTCCTATAAGTACTCACTAGTTGAGTGAAACTAGCTTGTTGCAATAACTGGCTTGTTGCAATAACTGGCTTGTTGCAATAACTGGCTTGTTGCAATAACTGGCTTGTTGCTATAACTGGCTTGTTGCAATAACTGGCTTGTTGCAATAACTGGCTTGTTGCAATAACTGGCTTGTTGCAATAACTGGCTTGTTGCAATAACTGGCTTGTTGCAATAACTGGCTTGTTGCAATAACTGGCTTGTTGCAATAACTGGCTTGTTGCAATAACTGGCTTGTTGCAATAACTGGCTTGTTGCAATAACTGGCTTGTTGCAATAACTGGCTTGTTGCAATAACTGGCTTGTTGCAATAACTGGCTTGTTGCAATAACTGGCTTGTTGCAATAACTGGCTTGTTGCAATAACTGGCGTGTTGCAATAACTGGCTTGTTGCAATAACTGGCGTGTTGCAATAACTGGCTTGTTGCAATAACTGGCTTGTTGCAATAACTGGCTTGTTGCAATAACTGGCTTGTTGCAATAACTGGCTTGTTGCAATAACTGGCTTGTTGCAATAACTGGCTTGTTGCAATAACTGGCTTGTTGCAATAACTGGCTTGTTGCAATAACTGGCTTGTTGCAATAACTTTTACTTTCCTATTAATATTAACTTTACATTGCAGATGCCTTTTTTCACTACATGAGCGATCCGATTTCGGTGCTTCCTTATGAATATAATGATGATGATGATGATGATGATGATGATGATAATGATGGTAATAATAATACTCCTTAAAAATAATAATAATAGTACTAGTAGTAGTAACAATAATTTATTATAATTATTATTATAATTATTATTATTATTATTATTATTATTATTATTATTATTATTATTGCTATTATTATTATTATTATTATTGCTATTATTATTATTATTATTATTATTATTATTATTATTATTACTATTTTCATTATTATTATTATTATTATTATTATTATTATTATTATAATAATAATAATAATAATAATAATAATAATAATAATAATAATTATTATTATTATTATATATCCTACAGGCTCTCCTAGCACCTAATTACACTCCTGCTTAGAAACTCTCATCGCGAAATGCACTCATATGTACATTCCTACAAGCACTATTACTTACACACAATCATTCCTACATGCACTATTACTTACACACAATCATTCCTACATGCACTATTACTTACACATAATCATTCCTACATGCACTATTACTTACACACAATCATTCCTACATGCACTATTACTTATATACAATCATTCCTACATGCACTATTACTTATATACAATCATTCCTACATGCACTATTATTTATGGTTTAGAAAGACACGTAAGCGAACACTATAACATATTTATTAGAAAACGTTTCGGTCCTGGGACCTTGATCACTTCTAACATACAGAGGTAGAAAGACATTATATATATAGGCGGAGAGTGAGATGTGACGCACGTGACCTGAGGAATGTCATAAGAACATAAGAATGGAGGAACACTGTAGAAGGCCTACTGGCCCATGCGAGGCAGGTCCTTATCAAAACAACCTCTGCCTATGATGAGGACGGGTAGACGATGAAATCATGTGACTCCTGTGTTGTTGGGTTGGTGCTGCTTAAGTATCATGTATGCCAATGTTTTTGAAATTTTGTAGTTTCCAGTGTTGCGTTCTATAGTGTCGGTGACGGCGATTAGTGAGGCTTCTAGGCACCGTCGGCGTCTGAGGTCTGGTTCGGTGAGAACGAAATTTCAAAAACATTGGCATACATGATACTTAAGCAGCACCAACCCAACAACACAGGAGTCACATGATTTCATCGTCTACCCGTCCTCATCATAGGTAGAGGTTGTTTTGATAAGGACCTGCCTCGCATGGGCCAGTAGGCCTTCTACAGTGTTCCTCCATTCTTATGTTCTTATGACATTCCTCAGGTCACGTGCGTCACATCTCACTCTCCGCCTATATATATAATGTCTTTCTACCTCTGTATGTTAGAAGTGATCAAGGTCCCAGGACCGAAACGTTTTCTAATAAATATGTTATAGTGTTTGCTTACGTGTCTTTCTAATCCAACTTGTCGGTTGTGATGAATGGTTTGAAAAACCGACAAGTTGAAGACTGAAACACTTATGCAGCATATGGATGGACTGAACACATCGACTCAAGGTTGAGGGACTAATTACCTCATACTCCTCCTCTCCTTACGCCTTCCTCTTTGTATTGGACTGATGAAGCCACTGTGTGGCGAAACGTTTCCTGAATAAAGATTCCCATATGCTGCATAAGTGTCTCAATCTTCAACTTGTCGGTATTTATTACTAAGGTTTATACCAACTATTATTTATACACAATCATTCCTACATGCACTATTACTTATACACAATCATTCCTACATGCACTATTACTTATACACAATCATTCCTACATGCACTGTTACTTACACAATCATTCCTACATGCACTATTACTTATACACAATCATTCCTACATGCACTACTACTTACACACAATCATTCCTACATGCACTATTACTTATACACAATCATTCCTACATGCACTATTACACACAATCATTCCTACATGCACTATTACTTATACACAATCATTCCTACATGCACTATTACTTATACACAATCATTCCTACATGCACTATTACACACAATCATTCCTACATGCAGTATTACTTATACACAATCATTCCTACATGCACTATTACTTATACACAATCATTCCTACATGCACTATTATTTACACACAATCATTCCTACCCAAACATAACACTTTCTTGGTCTTCTCTTTATCTGTTTTATTACGTATATTAATTATAGTAAATACTCACATATATTTTTTTTTTATCCTGGAGACATTATTTTTATTTATTTCTTAATTCCTCCACATATTCCTACTTAGCCTAAATTTTTTTATAAATAATTGAATATATCTTCGAAAATTGTAATTTTATGCTTAAAAAAGCTAATTTGTTTCATTTGTGGATTGAGTATGATAAGAGTATAAATCATAATATTTCTCTCTCCTGCCTCATTAATGTCATTCATGTCAGGTGGCCCATGGTCTGGTAGGCAAAGCTTCACACGCTGAAGGGCCGGGTTCAATTCCCGGCAAGGTTGGAAACATTGGGCGTGTTTCTTTACACCGGTTGTCTATGTTCACCCATCAGTAAAATGGGCACCTGGGTGTTAGTCGACTGGTGTGGGTCGCAACCTGGGACAAAACTGGTTATTATTATTAATTTATTATTATTAAAGATTAGCCGGTAGTCTCCCGGCCCGGGCCTTTTCCAAGTGGTGGCCCGGCCTTGGCTCCCCCTTTAGGGAGTGTCTGAGACCTAAGTCTCGAATGGGAGGAGGCACAAGTACCTCCTCATCTTTGGGACTAACTGTCCCCAGGCCTAGCCACAAGCTAGGCCTCTCTGGTCTGCCATCCCCGCCCCAAGGGGGCTAATGGGAATGACAGTCTTATGAGCTAAAGGCTCGGGCTCAGGCACCTACCCTACCCTAGAAGGGTTAGGCATGGTGTCGATCCACACACAAAACTGGTGTCAGCTAGGCCTGTATACCTTGTACATGTACTTGTAGAAATAAAGATACTTATTATACAATATTATTATTATTATTATTATTATTATTATTATTATTATTATTATTATTATTATTATTATTATTATTATTATTATTATTATTATTACCATTATAATCTCTTGCCTACTTCATGCACTCTCCGTTGCTTCATGTTTTCTATAAATTATAATTTCCTTGTTACCTCAACTTCCAGTCACCTTTTCTGATTTTTATAGTTTCCTCTATTTCTAGTTTTTTTCTTTTTCCTATTTTCTCCGATTTCCTTCTTACCTTAAGTAATTTCTACCATCGAAGCCTCTGTTGGAGCCCTCCTTACTTAAGCGGTAAAAATCGTCAACACTGTCTATCCATGTCTGGCTTCCTGGGAAGAAAAAATTTCCTAATTCCTTCTCGGACAAATCCACTGAGTCGTTGTCTGTGTTGGATGAGGGAAAGACCTGACTGGGCTGGCTGAGCGCTGCAGCGAGGGGAGGGGCGGGTGAGGCTTGGGCCCATGAACTCCATGTGATAGTTATGGGAAACATCCAGACTGCTAGAAGCATGATGCTCGACCTGAGTGTAAGAGAAATAAACATGTTAGTACCTGTCTTACGATGTATCAAAACTTTTATTTATGTTGCTTTAATGGTGGTGGTGCCCCGTGGCCTGGTGGCTAAAGCCCTCGCTTCACATGTCTAGGGTCTGGATTCGAGTCCCAGCGAGGTTAGAAATATTGGACATATTTCTTTACACCGGTTGTCTATGTTCCCCATCAGTAAAATGGGTACCTGGGTGTTAGCCGACTGGTGTGGGTCGAATCCAGGGATAAAACTGACTTAATTTGCTTTCGATATAGTAGTATGTCATTGATGTCAGCTAGGCCTGTATACCTTGTACTTATAGAGATAAAGATATATCATATCATTATATCATATTCAAAGCAAAATTATGTTTTCCTATTTTAATACAGTAGATATATTTTTTACTTATAGTGGTTTTTATCCGCTAAGAACCCCCCCCCCCCCCAAAAAAAAAAAAAATGTATATATTTAGCCGCAGATAAAAATTGTGGAACATGCCTTTGACTCTGAACTGCTGGAGAGACTGAGCTGCTGGAACTGCTATCACAGTAGTGATATCTCAGGCACGTGAAGCAGGATAAGCTTCAATTATAGCTTCAATTATATGGGTGAACATTGGTAGGCCGGCATTTTACACTCGTTAGCATACTGGCTTGCCTGTTGTAGGACTGGCTTGCCATGTGTTCAAAACCCAATATTCTGCAAGTTGCTTTATCATAGCTTGATAAAGTTATCTTTGATAGATTTGTTATTGTAACAGACTTATGCAGTTTTATGTGCACTTCTCGTTTGCTGGAACGAAGATGTGATAAGATGAATCAAGATTCTGAACTGTAGTGAGGCTGTGAACTGCTCAAATGGGAGTGCAAATGTCATAAACATTAGTCTCATAGAAAGGTACTTCTAGAATGATACTGAGCTGAAGAATTAGACACATGCGCAACATCTGGGCATTTTCACTTTGTAGACGTTTCGCCATACCTAGAGTATATCTGGAGAGGGTTTCGGGAGTAAACGCCCTCGCGGCCCGCTCTGTGACCAAGCCTCATGGTGCACCATGGCCTGATCAACCTGGCTTTAAACTAACGTACCAAACACAGCCCGGCTGGTCAGGTACTGACTTTAGGTGACTGTCCAGCGCCTTCTTGAAGACAGCCAGGCGTCTTTTGGTAATCCCCTGTATGTATGCTGTGAGACAGTTGAACAGTCGTGGGCCCCTGACGCTTATTGTGTTGTCTCTTAGCGCACTCGTGGCACCTCTGCTTTTCATTGGGGGAATGTTGCACCGGCTGCCGAGCCTTTTGCTTTCGTATTGAGTGATTTTTGTGTGCAAATTTGGTACTAATCCCTCTAGAATTTTCCAAATGTATATTAAAATGTATCTTTCTCGCCTGCATTCCAGGGAATACAAATCAATGAACTTCAACTGCTCCCAGTAATTTAAGTGTTTTATCGTACTTATGTGTGTCATGAAGGGTCTCTGTACATTGTCTAGGTCAGCAATTTCACCTGCCTTGGAAGGTGCTGTTAGTGTACAACAATATGCTAGTGTAGAGAGAACCAGCAAGTTGAAGATAATCATCATGGGCTTGGCATCCCTAGATTTGAAGGTTCTCATTATCCATTCCATCATTTTTCTAGCAGATGTGATAGATACATTGTTGTGATCTTTGAAAGTGTGATTCTCTGACATTATCACTCCCAGGTCCTTCATAGTAGTATTCTGCTCTATTGTGTGGCTGGAATTTGTTTTATATTCCAATATAGTTTTAATTTTCTCAAGATTTCCATATCGGAGAAATTGAAATTTCTCTTCATTGAACTTTATATTGTTTTCTGCGGCCCATATAAAGATTTTGTTGATGTCAGCTTAGAGTCTGGCCGTGTCTTTGATGAACGACACTGTCATGCAAATTCGAGTGTTATCCGCAAAGGAAAACACGGAGCTATGGCATACGTCTCTGTCTTTGTCAGATATGAGTTTGAGGAAGAGGATGGAGGCGAGTACTGTGCCTTGTGGAACAGAGCTTTTTACTGTTGCCGCCTCAGGCTTTACTCTGTTTAATATTACTCTTTGTGTTTTATTTGTTAGGAAGTTATGGATCCATCTACCAACTTTTCCAGTGGCTTTATCCATACAATTCAAGTACATAATGTGACGACAGAACTACATAGAAGACGAAGCAGTAAGTGCCTCCGCCTAGGAGTAGGTTATGAGCACCATAGTACTGAGTTGTTGGAATGAGACCTAACATCTGAAGAAAGACTGAACTGTTTGAAAAAGAGATAAAAATTCTGGAACTAAAAATTATACTGCTGGAATGAATCGATTGACGTTAGGAGTGGTACTTTACTGGGGTAGGGGGTGGCGCTTTATTGGGGGTAGGGGGTGGTACTTTACTGGGGTAGGGGGTGGTACTTTATTGGGGGTAGGGGGTGGTATCTTTACTGGGGTAGGGGGTGGTACTTTATTGGGGATAGGGGTGGTACTTTACTGGGGATAAGAGTGGTGCTTTACTGGGGTAGGGGTGGTAGTTTACTGGGGGTTGGGGTGGTAGTTTACTGGGGGTAGGGGTGGTACTTTACTGGGGTAGGGGTGGTACTTTATTGGAGATAGAGGTGGCACTTTACTGGGGATAAGAGTGGTGCTTTACTAGGGATAAGAGTGGTACTTCACTGGGGTAGGGGTGGTAGTTTACTGGGGGTAGGGGTGGTAGTTTACTGGGGGTAGGGATGGTACTTTACTGGGGATAAAGTGGTAGTTTACTGGGGGTAGGGGTGGTAGTTTACTGGGGGTAGGGGTGGTAGTTTACTGGGGGTAGGGGTGGTACTTTACTGGGGTAGGGGTGGTACTTTACTGGGGTAGGTGTGGTACTTTACTCCAGAGATAGGACGAAAGAAGTTTTCTTTGATACTTTATAGTGCCCTAATTTCCACATGGGCACTGTATGGAGCTTTAAACAGAATGAATGTTCCCGAATGAGTAATTTTCATAGGCAAATAACCCGTCTCAAAAACAAATAACAATGGCTGGGTTTTATCAAAAACACAGGAATGAGCTGGTACACTGCTTGCTTCTACCACTACCTGACCCCATCACACGTGATCTTGCAAACTAACACTTGTTTTCTCTATTACCTTTGGTGTGATGTGTCTATTTTCGAGCCCAATCTCATGTTGATCGTTAGCCTTATATGGCGGTGCATTTGCTCATCTTATGTACTCAATAAAGCCCAGCCTTTGGCAAGAAGTTATATTAAATGGATGGAAAGAGAATGTGATCTAACTGGAAAATCTGTACTTCCGAAACGATACTTTTAATTGCTTATAGAGGCATTGGAAATATAGGAGACTCTTAACTGCTTGACGATTATGAACTGCTGGTAAGAGACCTTAAGCTGCTGGGATGAGACGATGAATAGAAGGAAGGAATTTCTGAATAATAAGAATAAAAATTTGTACTGATGGAAACAAGACCTCACACTGCCCTTTAAAATCTCATTTAAGTACCCGGCAAACGAGAAACCCCCCAGTATGTAAAGGGGCCCCAGCAGAAGTTATTTATTTGGGGCCCTTAACTGCGGTGGTGTGTGGAAGAGTGTTTGTTGTTTGTGGCTAAAAAAAGACTGGAGAAAAGAAACTTTTCCGGATGACGGCAGCTTGGAAATTTACGTCACCCTTCCTTTGTTGGGCTCTATATATTTTACCTGACAAACCCACTTGACACCCCTCAAAAATCAACCGGGAAAATAATGGGGGGGCGAGTCGTCGCCTCGGTAGGGGGGGGCCCTCTTCCTTGACACCCTCCCTTTCTCACTTTTTTCCCCAAATCGTCGGGAGGGACCCCAAAATGTGTGATTGTCAACGGGGGGGGGGTTTGGGAGTGTCAGGGGAAAATCTCCCCGATCTTGATACATGTAGAAATTTGAGTTTCTTTTTTTGGGAATTTATTTTGCGGGGGAAAAAATAACCCCTTTACATGGGCAATATTTTATTGTTTAAAATTTTTTTCCTGTCTTGACTTTAAATTTATTTTTTATCATGGAGAGCGCAAAAACTCACAGGGATTTACGGGCCCCTTTTGGGGGAAAAGGGGGGAAATTTTTAAATTCGGGGAAATTGGAGCACAGATCCGATTCCCAAAAATCAAGGCCCTTTTAAACCAGCATAAAGGGAACCCCCCCTTAAAGGGGGGAATTTGTTTTGGTTTATAACGCTTAAAAAACCCAAAAAGTTGCCCCCTAATAAAAATTTTTTTGAAAACGTGCTTATTTTTTTAAAGTTTATGATTTTTTAAATTTTGTTGTATTTTTTTTTATTTTTTTTTTGGGTTTGTTATTGCTATTTGATGTTTACAGCTATTTGTTGAAGAAAAATTGATAATTGTTTTGGTCTGAAATTTTTTTGTTTAAAAAAGTTGATTATTTTGTTAGCCCTTTGGGAAGTTTTTCATTGTTTGTTAGTAGGGCAGACGAGGTTTTTATTTGTTTTTTGTTTTTTGGGTTGATTTGGGTTTTGTTTGATTACTGTAAAATTTTAAAAAAAAAATGGAGGAGCATTATTTAAAGCTCGAAAGGAATTTTTTAATTCTTTTGAATTAGAAATCAATTAGAAAAAAAAATGTGACCTGCTATCTTTTTTCCCCCAGGTTGATATAATTTCCAATGGAAATTAAAATTTTTCGTGAGATTGGCAATCTTTTTCCTTTTACATGTAAAAGCCCAGTGTAAAAAGCCATGGGTTTTGAAGGCGTGGAGTTTTGGTTGAATGAAGAGTAAGCGCGTAAACATTCCTTTAAACGTGAACCATTTGGATAAACCTGGAACACTGAAAAAGGGGCGGGTTTGGTTTAAAGCTCTAAAACCCTTTCAGGACTTTTTTTTTTTTTTTTAAAGGGGTTTGAAAAGGGTTAAGGTTCCCTAGCTTTATTGACAAGCTTTTTTAAGGTTAAGGATTATTAACTTTATTGACAAGTTTAAGAGCGGGAAACCT